GAGAGAGGAGAGAGAGGAGAGAGTAGAGTAGAGCGAGATGAGGAGAGAGAGAGAGAGAGAGAGAGATGAGAGAGAGAGAGAGAGGAGAGAGAGAGAGAGAGAGGAGAGAGAGGAGAGAGAGAGAGAGAGAGAAGAGAGAGAGAAGGGTCGTTTTCTGTCCAATATATCTGGCGTCTCGTTGAACCTTGCAAATTCCGCATTCACATCACGACTGAACTTTCGCCTTGATGGTCTCATATGCTTTACAGAAAACGTCGGAATATACTACCCAATTTTGTCCCATTTTCTTTCTTTTTTTAAATTCACATTCAAACCTCATCTTCGAATTTGATCAGGATACGAGAAGCTTGGCACGAGGCATTGAGCGAAATCGAAAGAAGATAGCGAATACATAGTGCAACGTCGTGTTCGACAACACATTGCTCCTAATAATCAAGAGCGTCCCACTTCATGGCAGTGGGAGCTGATGGACGCACGTCACGCGCGGGTACCTAGTAATAGTGGGGGTGACTTTACCACGTCACAGTGACGATAAGGCCGACATGCACGGCGCGCGTGGGTGCAAAATAATGGTGGGAGGCGACTGTGGAACGACTAATGGAGATGGGTAAGAGGAATGGAGACGGTGGCTAAATAATCCGATAGAGATTAGTTCATTCCTCCGCCTGGTTGGCTGGGAGCGCGATCATTCGTGGGTGGTGTTTACAGTGCCACCATGGTAACCGGTAGGTCAAAATGCAACGCCGCACCTTTTTCTGAGAGAATGTCGTACCCATAGATACTTGATACCACTAGATCGAAACCGCTGTGCGGAAAGTGTGCTCGGCGAATAGGGGCATTGTGCATTGTATTAAACTAAAGGCATATGTCTTATCGGCAGGAGTATGGCTTAGCATCTACGACGCAAGAAGATGAAACGTTGCTTCCGGCTGATAAATGGGTACGTTTCACAAAAAAGAACTGTCGAGTTGGGTCGCCCGTAACTCGCCCGGTTTACATTAGTTTATCCAGTTTAACTGCGAGTCTATCCATCTCACAGTGATGCCCCTCTCTCGCTGGCACACGTCTGCTAGTCATTTATGATGAGCATTGCCGATCTAGTGGCATCATATATCTATGGTCACACTCAGGCTACGGTCAGCTCGCATGCGGATGTCATTAACTTTAAGCTCCGCCGATGGGGCCAATTCCAGCCGTGACCGCTGCTAAGATGGCGTTGTACCCCAGCGCTACCCTCCTTACCCGTATAGTGAGCCACGAGTTAAAATCGCACGTAGCCACCGCGAGCTGAAACCGTCCATGAGTACCCAGAGATAGTGTCGTGGCTGGTCACTGTCATCTGAGGCACTACAATTCGAAATTGTTTCTAAGCAGTATGCACTGCCAGCTCAAGTCGTATCTAAGCACAGCAAGTTGAACTCCTGGCTCTCATGAAAATACCCGTCCCATGGACAGCTGGATGCGTGGATGTGTTGTTACTTGAACTAAAGGGTGCATCGACAGCCGCAGTCATTTTGAGCCCGAAGTGATGTGTGGGTGTGGATGCGTGAATGTGGATGTAGATATTTTCATCCACATAGATGTTCTCAAGCAGCGCATATTGAACCCTTTCCCGGGTATTCTGCTGGCCGCTGTCGTTCCCCGGCGACAGGGAATCCAGTCCGCACCTCGGTAAGAGAAGCCGCTGCCGTACCCCGACACTGGAGCTGCTACGTCCGTACCCGGACGCAGGCAGCTGAGGCCACCCTTTAGCGGTACCACGAACCGAGGCCATACCTGGGTACTGGGAGGTAGGGCAGCCGCCCGAGCGGCAGTCGTGCGGGATCTTGTAGTCGAGGGTGTAGGGCCAGACGGGCACGCGGGCCGGCGCCACCGACACCGAGCTGTCCCACACGAAGCCGTAGTCGAGCATCATCTGTCGTGGGGAGGCTCGGCTCTGAGGCTGACCGCACGGTCGGCACACTGAACCATGTGTTGCAATGACACGCCACACTCAGATTGGACCCAGCTAACCAGAATCGCCCACTGGTGCGACAGCTGCCCATCAGCCAGCGATTCATTGACTTATTGCCACCAGAGGGCGAAGAGTACAAACGACAGGCTGCATTAACGACCGCGTCTTACCTTTCTGCCTTTTTATAGAGCTGACCCTAGCCTTTTTAAATGCATGGATTTCTGGGATCAGAGTCGACGCTGAGAGGAGTTGAACACCATCATCCGAACGTCAAACCTTAGGTCAACGGCAAAGTTGTCCGTCCTTGGTCTGTTGTGATGTACGGCACAATGCTGCCGTGATCAGGATGACTCTGACCACGGCAGGATCGTGCTTTGATGCCAGACTTAGGTGCCAGGACTATGATACACAACGTAATCCTGCCGTGATCCGGGCGTGATCCCAGCCACGGTCCGGTTGATCCGGGCGTGATTCCGCCGTGGCCAAGGGCGAGCCACTCACGTTGAACTGGTTATTGAAGCCGGGCTTGAGCCGGGGCGCGCGCATGCCGAGAATGTCCAGCTCGGACACGTTGGCCCAGAGCCCGAGCATGGTCCGCATTCCCACCATCTCCTGCACCCACTCCTCGTACGGCTCGGCCGAGAGGCTGCGCGACCTGAAGACGAGCGCCGCACTCGCCGGTCAGCCAGGTCAGCAGAGAGACCGCGTCGGCCGCTGCTGGCCCGCGGCGACTACGCTCCACCCGCTCGCAGTATGTGCTACGCGCGGAACACGACGCATCGCGAGGGCAGGAATCGAGTGGCAAATGTGACTACGGCCGACAAGGTGACACTGATGCAGTAAGGTACACGCGTTGCACACCAATAACATCGCTTCGAACCAACCATCAGCTACGCAGCTTGATGCTATCGAGCTGCGTCGAGCTGCGCAAGCATCGAACTACGCTCGACAGCACTTGTTGGGCCACCGTCGCTTACGTGATGCTGTAGAGGGCAATCTCGTGACCTTTGTGGTACAGGTCCTGCACCATCTGATAGTTGGTGTACTCGTGACTGACGAAGAACGTGCCCCTCATTGGGCACTCGTTCGGGTTCCGGTATTCCGTGTCGTTGAAGAGCTCCAGATAGTGCTCATAGTTCTGGCCGTTGACCGCGCCATCCAGCGCCAGAAGTATCATCTGTGGAGTCTGCGAAGAGAACCAGGTACCGTGAAATTCACCTCATCGACATACTTGGTGATGTTATCGATAACAGAAGTTTACTAAATGACTGCGAAATACTGTTAATGCGTAGCCCCAGCAAGTGGGTGCGTTACTGTGATAGTGCCACGGTGTAGGCTGCAGGACGTTAAGATGATTTCAAAATCATAAATTAGAGACCTACTCACGTTGAGGTTATTCTGACCAAGTCATAACCATGGCATGATGCCATACAACATCGAACAGGCAGTGAAAAGGCAAAGTGTCTCACGGCACCCGGTTTCGAACCAGTACACCAGTTTGGGAGCTTTTGTTTCGGTCTACAATTACTTTTTCAATACAAAGTGCACTTACTTTTAATCATGAAGTCAGCTTATGGTATGGATATATTTTTGCTCTTTGGCACCTAAATTTTGTCTTAAGGATCAAGTTTTGCCTGGGTCAAAGAGGATAAAGTAAAAAAAAAAACGCTCATGAGTCGACCAATTTTCTGTATTATACTCCCACGACAGGCTAGAACAGACCATCGCGGCCTTCCGGCCATCGTTTCCAAACGCTGAAGTGATTGTGCCCAACAAAAAAAATCGTTTCTGAGTTCAAGGCATTAAACATTAGTGCATGCGTTAAAAACGACTTGAAGCAGCCGCCGAATATTTCAGCACGGAAAAGTTTTATTTCATTTCTACGTACATGCTTGCGAAATCTTATTGGATGCATTGATAGCTTTCAGCCGCTTGCTCTCATTAGGTAATACCTTTGCAGCTATACGCATACGAAACGTCAAGTTTACAATATGAACATGCTTTCTAGTTTTGCTCACTGATGCCACCTCGCGATTTTACGTTTAAGGAGAGTGTCCCACCTTTGCAGGCATTTTTCAAAAAATACTATTATGAAACCTCAGGACTTTTTACGCATTATAATAGAAATGGGTGGCGCCACTGCAGGACTGTCAAAAAACAAGGATATCAACCATAATTATATTCAAGTCCAAATTATGGTGTCAACGCTTTGTAACAGCGCCACGCTTCCTCTCTGCAGTCGCAGCCACCGCCATCATGACAACCAACGTGCACACCTCTACTGGTGCGAATAAAAAAACGTTTTTGATTGGCCAGCGGGCAAGTGTCTGTAGCCGAGAAGCGCAATAGTTGAAGTTCGTACTAGTGCGTCACATAGATTATGTGATGCCCACATTCCCAAAGCCAAAGTGCGCCCCGAAAGAGCCACTGTGGTAGACACCATAGGGGAGAAATCAAAGTCTCACTTTAACGTTTCATTGAATTTGCGTGATAACAGCTTCATGTTCGTAAATATTTTGGTCTAAACAGACTGTTTCAAGGTGTCGTATCATTTATCACGCACACATTTTGACACATCGGTGTGCTGCAAACATTACAGAACACACACGTGGAACAGAAAAGGCAAATTAAGTGTACTACTTTCCTAATGCAAATTTTCCCGCAAGATCGGCTTCTTTAAACCGAAATTATGAGCCATTTCAAAAGATACCGATAAAGCTGGTATTACTGACCAAATCGCACACGTCTGATGTATCAATATGTGAAGAGTACCAAAAGGTGGGACACTCCCTTCAAGTAGTGGTCAACAAGCAGGGTGACTACAATAACTCCATTGGCGGCCTTGTGAGCCGGCTAGCCGAAGACAGAGTGAGGTATCGGGCCGTCAAAAGAGCGCCTCCTCACACATCCAGGTCGCCATGGGCCGCACACAAACCGTGTTAATGCCTGTGCCGCATGACTGCTGACTGACAAGTGTCCACCACCCGCGGCCATTCCTGTCGTACGGCCGCCTTACCTGCTTAGGGTCGAGGTCGCCCGGGATGCGCGTGCCGTCCTTGGAGCAGAAGCAGTTTGGCAGAGGACAGTTGGCCGGGTCGCAGGAGGTCGCCAGGTACGGGTCGGGCGTGGTGGACGGGGCCTCGGCTGTCGCCACACGAGTGCGCGTCATCACAGACCGCACGCTACGCCGCTGACGACTCTGACGACTCCAGCACGCGCGACGACGACACGGTCAAAACAAGTTGCTACTCATCGTCGTTAAGTGAAGACCATACGGATTACGATGGGATGAATTGCATGCAAGCCACCATTTTGTTCCACGGCTGACGCTGATTTTCTCTCGCAGTGGCCCCACTGACTTCTAGTCAATGTCATGCTCACTTGTGGCCACAGGACCGCACACTGCAACATTCTTGAAGTCGCACTGCTTCTTGACGTCGTCCCAGTAGAGGCCGGAGGGGCACAGTTGGCTGTAGGGGTAGTCGTCTACGCACTGGTAAAACCTGTCACAGTGCGGTCGCCGAGGTCAGTACGGGCTGCGCAATGACTGTGCTGACCGCGCTGGGAGGTAAGGTATTTTATCTCGGGAAACAGTGAGGCACCAGCGCCAACGCGTGTGCATGATGCACGCATGCAACTTATCCCAGCAATGTTCAATCTGCTAACAGCCGCTTCTGTACGCTCTGAACAGCAACAGTTACATGATTGACCCAATAGTGCTCGTCAGCTCCTAGCCCTCTCCCAAGTAGCTCTCGCCAAGCTCTCAAGCTTGACGAGACATCAAAGCTCTGGCGGCGCCATCACGGAAAAATGAAGGCGGAGTGGCGTCTCTGGGGACTGATTGAAGTGGGATAAGCAAGCAGCCGCAAAGTATGCGCCGATATGGGGCGGGCAAAGCTCACACTACGTGCACAGGGGAGAAGCTGTGCTAAATAGCTTGAGAGCGGGGTCTGAGCAGAAGAAACCGGCAAAACCTACCCAAACGACACGTTAAAAACCGGATTTCCCCCGGATTCGGCCCCCTGTCGTCTCAAAGGGGTTGGGACAGGAGGCCAAGCTGCACCCATGTTTGCTACGCCCCTGCGTAAAGCCGAGGATTCAATTCTGGTTAAATGTCAGGTGGGTGAATTTGACAGAGTCTGAACTGAGCGCAGACTGCAGACGTCGAGCTGCGGACTCACTTTCTACAGTTGTCAGGATCAGCGAAATAGCCGTCCAGTGCCGGACATTGGAATCCCTCGTCTTTGATCAGCTGCGCTTGAACTGGAACGAAGGATCAGCTGGTTACCATAGGGTTAGGAGTTGCGCCAGGAAAGCATTACAGTTGAGAAGCAATACAAATCTTGCTAGATATAACAGGTAGTGTCCGACAGCAACGCGGACTGAAGCGGCTAAGCATTTCAGCCCAGGTCAGAGCAGTACCGCCTGGGCATTCGACTACGCAGGCGCGTGCAGCTTCCAGATATTGCATGGATTTTTGCCGCAACGACGGGTAAGTTAGGTGTTTACTGTAAAATTGCAATGGTTTGCCACACAAAGGTCAGAAGATGCAAACTTTCACGCCATTCGGCTGGGTATGTGTACCGTTCTTGATCAAGCTAAACCTGTGCAGGAATGCAAATGGCAGGATGGGTCTGAGCCTAGCCGCATTCAGACTCACTCATTGAGCGCGAGGTGCGCAGACATATCGCGTGCACACGAGCGCCCGCGGCAGCGCCTGAGCCAAGACCGACATTCCCCGTCAAGGTGAATCTCCCGTGAAAGAAAGGCGCCATTCAAACGTCGCGTATGTCCGACAAAGACCACAGCGGGCGTGACCACACGGCTTCCACGGAGCGGTACGACGGCGGTGCCACGGCGCAGACGGCCGGCACCAGCGTCACCGCGCCCCTCGACCCTTCGGCGTACCCTTGCCCCTTCCCCTCGGACCCCCTCGCGGCGCAGCCGGCACCCGCCCTCGCGGATACGCCGGAGAAAGTGGTGTTTGTGAAACGGGCCGTGCCGCAGGCCGGCGATACGATCTCGGCCGCCGGCTGCTGCCGCCCCAGCCGAGCGTGGCGCCGGCGCGCCCCGCCCGCCGCTGTCGACACGGCCGGCCGGCGGGGCGGACCGAGCCTGGCTGGGCTGTGCTGGGCTCCCGGAGACAGGGGGCGCCGCGCAGGTGGGCTCTTCGATCGACCCCCCGGCAGGCGCGGCCAGTGCGCCTGAATGCTGCCGCTGCATGAAAGCTAATGGGTCATATGCGTCTACATTGCTGATCAGCCGCTATAAAACAGGACATAAAGCCCTGGCATTGGCCGACATCACAGCTTTCCGGATCAGTCATCACTGTTGAGACGTCATTTGTTCGGAAATAAAGCAGTTAATGCGATGAGGAGGGATATTAACCGCAGATATTGGATATGTTCAATTTGTTTTAGTAATGACTGGGATATCGCTTTTGCATTAGGCCGTTGCGTATGGTACATTATAATATATATATATATATAATATATATTTATATATATATATATATATATATATCCATCTATCCATCTATCCAGTCTATCCATCTATCCGTCTATTATCCGCTATCCGTCTATCCGTCTATCCGTCTATCCGTCTATCGTCTACCGTATATCCGTCTATCCGTCTATCCGTCTATCCGTCTATCCGTCTATCCGTCTATATCCGTCTATCCGTCTATCCGTCTATCCGTCTATCCGTCTATCCGTCTATCCGTCTATCCGTCTATGTCTGTCTGTCTGTCTGTCTGTCTGTCGTCTGTCTGTCTGTCTGTCTGTCTGTATGTCTGTCTGTCTGTCTGTCTGTCTGTCTGTAGTCTGTCTGTTGCTGTCGTTGTCTGTGTGTCTGTCTGTCTGTCGTCTGTCTGTCTGTCTGTCTGCTGTCTGTGTCTGTCTGTCTGTCTGTCTGTCTGTCTGTCTGTCTGTCTGTCTGTCTGTCTGTCTGTCTGTGTTGTGTGTGTGGTTGTGTGTGTGGGGTGTGTGTGTGGTGTGTGTGTGTGGTGTGTGTGTGTGTGTGTGGTGTGTGTGTGTGTGTGTGTGTGGGTGTGTGTGTGTGGTGTGTGTGTGTGTGTGTGTGTGTGTGTGTGTGTGTTTGTGCATGTATGTATGTATGCTTATGTTTTTACACACGGGGTCAGTAAAATGATTTTCCAGGACCGAGGTGGACGTTTAATTTCTAAACAAGGCCGAAGGTCGAGAGCATAAATTTCACATATTTCTCCTGGAAGATTATCTCGGCCCAAGTGTGGAATGCTTTTTTATACCAAATCCTGCGGGAGGCAGAACGTGCAAACAGATTTAAACCCAACATTTCCCCTTTCTTAGAATGCGACACTGGAGAAGGAGACCACAAGCAGACAACTACAGAGTTTATTCAGTCCAGCCATGGCAAGGTAGGGGATCACCTCCGATAAACGCAGTCACCAATGTTGAAACTGTTCGGAGGAGTATCATTCTGCCACAAATTGTATCCACCACCAAAAGCTAATCCGCTTGGTTGCAAAGACTGCGCAACAACAACCACAGTCCAAAACTGCCTCTGTAAATTCTAGTGATATTTTTCCAAACGACTCTTGCGCGTGAATTATTGGATATTTCTTCCCGCGGTGAAAAATAAACCTGAGGCAACACTTAATAACACAGGCAGGCGCTCATGCAAAGTTAGAAGCATCATAGCATTTGGCAAATATTTCTGCTTTGTTCTTTTTATGAGGGAAAGCCCGTGGATCGGAAAATTTCACCGATTCATGCGCTAGCAATTACTTGGACTAAAATGCGACAAAAGTTTGTAGAAACCGTTCAACTGCTGTTCAACTAAAGTCGTTGCTGTGTAAGTCTTGCAATCACTTAATAGTGGCATTTGATGACAAATGGCATTTGTGGTAGAATTGTGCACATCTAAAAAGTTTCGATGGTGACAGTGACGACGATCATAGACGGTAGCTCTTAACCAAGGCAAGACAGAGTAAGCTCTTTAATTATCTGTTCGAGGCCTTCTTCTCCGACGTCATAACCTAAGTATGGTAAGAATACCGGCTTTTAATTAATATCCATGCTTCGTCATACAACGGTATTCGGTACAAAGTGTAGCGCACTCGGGCCGGATTGATTTTCCAACACACTGGTCGTTGCAGAATTCCTGCCTTCGACCTTCGGTCTTCGGCGGAAAATACAACAGTGACCTCGGTTCTAGAAAACTACTTACCCGCCCGCATGGCGCTGTATGAACCATCGCTATTTCAATTGGCGTCGTGCCATCGTCAAACGATACATACATCGCTGAGCAAATACCCGCAGAAACGTCTGTACAGGGGATGACAGGAGATCCGATGTGTACACTCCTGAGGGCGGTACGGCCCATCATTTAACCATCACATGCCCTTATCTTTCAATCCAGCCACGTTGACATTATCGCACTGAACCGGTCCTCTCCGTGTGGGCCCGTCCTGCTCTCTCGGTTTTCGCCGCGCTGGCCTATGCTAGGCTCACACCGCCACGCCTATGGCTCCCAACACCGCGAGGCCGCCGCCGCCGCCGCCGCCAGGTGAACCGCCGTCAGCTGACTGACCCTGTGACCTTAATGTCCGACCACTTCCCGACCGACCGACCCGCTAACCAGGTGACTGGCCGGCGGAGGCCCACCGTCGGGCTCCAGTGGCCGTTTCGCCACTGGGCGTCCGGTGCGTGAGCTTGTGCGTGCGTCCACGCGTGTGCGCGTCCACGCGTGTGTGCGTGTGCACACGCGGCTGATTGTCTTGTATTCATTAATGCTGACCCAGCACAGCGTCGGTGGGATGATATCGGGAGGCCATTTCCTGATGTATATTTAGAACCTCTGGTGGACGGTGCCATAGCTCTGGGCACATCGATCCAGATGCATTCATTACAGTGTGGCGCGTGCGGCGCAGCAGGAGCATGGCGGCTAGCGTGGTTTCCATACCTGCAGGCTGGTTGAGAGAATGGCAACACACTCATTGATATTGATGCATACATGCATACGGATACAGCATGCTCACGGTTGTTCAGCTACTGGATGAAGCAGGTTTTCCTGTGCACTTACGGAAGAGGTGAATGTGACCGCGACCCATTCCGCTCTCGTCCGGTTCGCAAATCTACACTTCATTTACTTCTTGGATAGCGCGATCTTACTAATCAAGTGGAAAGTAATACCACACCCGCAGAACTGGAAGAAAGCCTTGCATCAGACAATGTTTTGCGCGGCGAGCTCGATGACAACGTGCGCAGCGATGCAGTTGCGGACGGCGTTCGTAATTTGTCAACTTGGGTTAGGCAATTTGTCTGACTAGCTCCTCAGCCTCAGAAGTGAAGTGCCTTTCCACATCCACAGCGCCTCCGGGCACTGCACCAGCTCGCGCAACGCGCGCACTATAGCAATGCCTCATTTTCAGCCTATACCCTCCGTCTCCAGCTCCCGGAGTCTTGCCCCTCACCGATGCGGACGAGTGCATTCTTGCGCGACCTCCGAGAACAAATGCGCAACCGTTCGCCTTGGGTCTACTCTGAATCAGAATGACTAAAAGTGCTTTGAGGCCTGAAGAACCTGGAGGGTCATTACCTCTATGCTCAGATGTGTTGTAGTTGATTGGCATTTGCGGGCCTCGAGTAGAATGTGGGCATGGTACATGTATATGCATCGTAATCTTGACTGACGAGAAAAGCTTCCCGATGACAAGAGGTAATCATAACATGTTGCCCATTGAAAATGGAAATCTTATATCGTAGCACACGTCAAAGAAAGACGCTTTTAAGACCGGTCGCTGTTAGAGCGCACTGGTTACTGGTGGAGATGTCTCTGGTCACCACACTCACTAGGCCCACGCTGGGTTTAACAGGCTCGCCTATTTCGGCATATTCTGCCGCACGCCGCGCTTGCTGACATCAGCCCACGCCTCACGCAGCGCGTGACTGCGGCTGACCGTGGATCGTGCTGCTGCTCAGCTGGATCGTGACGACCGTTTCCTTTTGAGGTCACGCGGGCATGGCAAGCACGCCGAGACAGGCCACATCGGGGATATCCCGTCACGAGCCCAATTGCCTAGAAGTGTAATAAGGCTGGGACAGGGTCAGCAACACGTGCCTATCACACCAGCGGCACGCACCTGAGACCACGCCGGTAGGAAGCACCTGGTGTCCCCGGTACACCAGCGAGACGCATTTGACATTATGCCCTTAGGACGCCCGTACCTGGTACACCACCTGTAGGACGTCCGTGATACGCAGGACTCACGCGATATGATACCAGAAGGCCGCATCTGATAGTCCCCGGCATACCAGCAGGACGTGCCTGACACCATGCCGCCAGGACCTAAATCCCTGGTACGGCGCCAGCCGAACGTACCTGATATGACGCCAGAGGGCCGTACCTTGAGACGCACCTGAGACCAGCAGCAGGCCAGCGGCCAGGAGACGGCACCAGCACGCCATGATGACCCGGCTGCGACTGGCCGAGCGCGCGCTCCGCACTTTCCCAGCGTGGCCGGCCGCCACCGCCGCCGGCGGTCGCCTCGCTCCACGAAAGGTGACGCAGCTTTCAGACTGGAACACAGTCAAGGTTCAGCGGGCGGCGCGTGCCGGCCAGACATGGGCGAGAGGTGCCCAGCCGCCCGCCGCCAGCGCCGTCGGCACGCAGGCAGCGAGCGGTCGCTGCCGCCAACGAAACCGATCGGAGCTGTGGGAAGTCGGCGCGGCACAGGTGGTAGAGTAGGTCAAGGCACCGCAGGCCACAGGTCCGTGAACGTGCCTATGACGACGATAGCTGGCCGGTGGACAGGGGAGGGGGGGGGGGGGGGTCTGTTCTGGCCGCATGTACGTAGCTGCGCGATGAGCAATGACTTGGTGACCACAGGCACGTAGCGCCAGTTTCCTCAGGCGAAGGGCTTAACGTGAAATTTGTTTCCACTCTTCTACGAATCGCATCATACCTAGTGTAAACTTCTTGGCGGGGCATAACTTTGGGAGGGGGGGGGGGGGGCATGGACCCGCACCTCTCTTTGGCTACGTGCCAGCGTCGCCTTTCCGCATGATGTAACCGTCTGGCACGCACGGAAACCCGGTAGTAGTTGCAGTAAATCGCAACATTTCAGAGCTGGAAGTTGGTAGAGTATTAAACACGCGCACAGTGGCATTCTAGCAAGTCATGAAGAGCTCGAAATGTATGCAGCAGCACACTTAATGCAATCTAACGGAGACTGAGGCAATGTTGCCAGGGAGCGTCATAACCGCAGGGCGAGAACGATGTTTGGGAGAGAGCAGCCCATGAGAACGGAAGTCTGTGGCACCATGACTTCGTTTCTTGGTGGTATGTGACCAGTAAACTACCGTTGGCCCAGGAAATAGGTAACATTACTTGTGCTTACGATGTCGCCCGTAGGCCCTGCACAGTGCTGTAGCCATTTGATGCTCAAGATTGCCGTCTAGTCACTGCGAACGAGCAGGCGAACGATCGAGCGTTTCTAACGGGTACCCGGTTCAAGCTCCATGCAAGTCTGACAAACACATCCGAATTCCCCTTGCCATAAGAGGAACGACAATGGAGGTCATGAAATCAGACCAACTTAAATATGATGCTTTGGGAAACAAAACTGTGTTATTATTCATTTTCTGGTCAGGGCGTACTTTCCTACCTAATGTTACACAAGAGTACATCAATCGTTGTTTTTAAGGCAGAACAGGTCCTAATTAATCGTAAAACAGGTCATCTACACTCTTACCTTGGAACTTAACTAATTACGATGCCGAATATCCGACCGCCACAAACACACAGCAGCCGCGACGCCGACGCCATTACTGCGCGCGGTCACAACATTATTGCGCATCAAGCAGCATCAAGAACCATAAAAATGTACCGGGCCAAGGTAACAAGAATCCATGCGATTAGGTAAGGTAAGGTAAGGTAAGGCAAGGCAAGGCAAGGCAAGGTAAGGTTAGGTTAGGTTAGGTTAGGTTAGGTTAGGTTAGGTTAGGTTAGGTTAGGTTAGGTTAGGTTAGGTTAGGTTAGGTTAGGTTAGGTTAGGTTAGGTTAGGTTAGGTTAGGTTAGGTTGCGTTAGGTTAGGCTAGTTTGGGCTATGTTCTGGACTATTCTGGCCTGTGCGTTTCATAAACGTACCTAAACGCGATAAGAAACGATTTTCATTGCATTATTATTGTTGCCTTGATCCCGTACATTTTGTATAGTTCTTGGTAAGCAGAAACATTGTAATTACGCAACAGCAACGCAGAAACGGTGCTGGGGAGTCCAGGCGGTGCGGTGCGTGCGGCGCTCGGGAGCTCGCGATCGTAGTTATTAAAATTCGAAGGTAGGAGCATGATTCTACCTGTTTTGAGATTATTTACGATATGTTCCGCCTTAAACACGACGAATGGTGTACATTGATTTTTTCTAACGTTAGGTAGGAAAGTACACCTACACTTATTTTCTTATTTGGATACGTCATGAGACAGAAATGCCAAGACGTTATGCGTCATAACTTTTCTGCACCTCATGTCAAAAAAATTTAGCACGATGGAAGAGAGGTGAATTCAGAAGGGGCGGGGGAACGTTCTTTCCTCCCTTCACACGATCGGAAAGTTTAAGGGAATTCTTCACATTTGGGGATATTAAGGCAAGCATCAGATGTGATGAAAGAAGCCCACTTAAACGCGCTGGTTTACTCTTAAGTGGAAAACTGCTCAAAACAACACAATTTCTTTGTTAAGTAGAAATACTCCTCAATACGTCATCGTTTGATAACGTCATCGCTCTTTGCACAATATTGATTGAGAGCCAGTTGGAGGACGGTATATATGGAAATCAAGCTCACGAATGCCAGACATGAGCGAATCGGCAATTCTATTTTTCTTGGCCTTGATCACCGCATGGCTAATGGAATAACATGGTTTGAATGACGTTATTGTAACATCAGGGATGCTTCTCTGACCCTGAAATGGTCTCCCCGAAATCGCGCACACATCTTCGCGAGCGTGTAGTTCAGAAACTAGAGGGGTTTAAATAATAGGAAGGTTAGGGCTGTGAACTGCACCGAATGAGCTTCAGGGTGACTATTTCAATCCCCAGACAAAGTTGGACCACGCCCTTGAAGTTGAAAACGCTGCTCTAGGCAAGGAAGCTTCTCCTATTTAGTAAATATTTACCCCAATACGTTATTGTTTGATTGCCTCATGGAACATTAGTATGATGTTAGAAGTGAAATTGCCACCCTAGCACTTACAGTATTTTAACTTGCTGAAAGGTGGCAGTGGCGGTGCTGGTCGTGTTCGCTGAAGCAAATATCGTTTTGTGCCCTAGTTTGACCCTTCCTTGCGATATTCTTTTACATCTTTCAGTGACGTTCAGTTGATAACTTTTATTCACATACTCCGTTATGGCTCTATTCTTAAGTTATTCGATTGCAAATCATATTTCCGTACTAACTAGCAACCATGTCCAGTCTCTTTCATTAAGTATCATAAAGCGTGATTTATCCGGCCCTGTCCTCCTCCGTCTTGTTCCACCCTGCATCCTCGCGACGCCCCGCTTGTCCGGGGCAAGCTGCATGCGTCAGCCGCGGGCGGGCCGAGAGCCCTGTGGGAAAGGAGACCCCGACCGACTACCCAGCGCGCATGCGCGGGTTACAGCTTGGCGGTTGGCCCTCCAGGCGCATGCAAGTCTGCCCCACCGCTAACCATTTTCCTTCATCTCATAGCCCTGAAGTGATTATTTCCGGTCGAAAGAGCTCTGATCCAAAACAAAAACAAAAACCCACGTTTTGGAGCGGGATAAAGCACCTGCGAGCGCAGCTCACGTCAACCCATTCGGTGGCGATACACCCGTCTAGCGAGACATACGCAAGTGGTTTGCTCATTTAGAGGCTCTCAGCCAAGGGGTTCTTTTTTCTCATGGTGGTTTTCATCGCTTTTCTGTTTGCTCTCGTTCCAGCCACACCTTTCATTTAGATTTTGTTGTCCTTTTCCCGCCCCCAGGTATGAAGAAGCGTGGTAAGCGCAAGAAAGGCAACCCTGACGTGAACTTGAATTCGGCCTCGGACATTGACAATGTCCTGGATGTAGACGACACAGGTACCGCTAGCCCCGCTTTGGCTGCCACTTCACGTGATGACCCTTGCGCGTCTCAGGCTCATTGATTCATACACATCCGCCACGATGTCTGGGCAGTAGCCGCTTCCGTCCAACGCTCCTGATTCCGACCCTTGCTCGTCTTCGACCACTCCTGTGCCAAGTCAGAACTCGGAAACTTATCTTGATTCCTTCGGCTCATTTGTGGTTGTGAAACGAAGAGATGAGAACGTTCCTCCCGGAAAATCAATGTTTTCTAGCCGAGCAAACAGATCCAGGCTATTTGCGTTGCATCTGATCTGGGCATTGAAACTCCGGCAAGAGGCTCTCTCATCATTAAACAAAAACCCGTTCTCAGATATAGGCCATGCGAAAAGCTACCGAGTTCTGCGGAAATCTGTCACTGTTTCGTTCCACCACGCGCGAAATAACACCAAGGGTACAATTTTTGCTCCGGAAATGCGATTCGTGCCGAGGACGAAATTCTGGATGGGTTCCGCGCTCAGATGGCCTGTAGCGTCTGTTGTCAGACGACATTCAGAGATGGCCAAAGGCGTGACGCCAGTCCTCACTTTGTAAGGAAATCATCAGGCTGAGACTCTCATTGCCGGCCATCTTCGCTACTCTGTCCGAGTTTTCATTCAAAATCCACTGCGCTGCTTCAACTGTCAACGATTTGGCCATGGGATTCAAACGTGCTAAATGTTCGCTGTCAAAATTGCGGCGTGGCCCCACATGATGGCTCTGCCCGCACCACACCGACGAAGTGGCTGAATTGTGACGACCCAGATAATCACGCTAATTAATCGCAACGCCCTGTATGGAAGCGAGTGAAAGAGATATGTGCAATCAAGGCAACGACTTGTATGCCATGTCCCCAGGCACGGCGCGCCGTAGATTCAAAAATGTTCCCTCAGCCAAACAAAACATATAAACAGGCAGCAAGTCACGATGGCGACATGCGGAACACAGACTGACTATTTCTCAGCCGCCTCCTCTGAAGATTCTCCCCCCCCCCCTTCCCCGCACCTCTGTTTCAACTGAGTTCATCACGCATACCCAGACGGGCAATACCGTCGAGTCGCCCCTGGCTGGCGTTTGGACGCTCAGGCGTCCGCGCACTCCCGTGCCCAGGCTGGCCAGCGCTCCAGTCCGGCTATGCGTGGTCCGCACGCGGCTCAAGCCGTTCGGCGTTCCAGCCCTCCGGCTACGAACGGTAAGCAGCCGAATCCCCCTGGCCGCCGCACGAACGGCCCCTCCCCTCCCCCTGCACAGCACTTACCACAACACGCCTGAGCGAAGACCGCCGGTCCTGTCCCCCTTGTGAGGTTGGCCATGGGCCGACCTCGGTTAGTTTCGTTCGGCTGAGGTTCAAACCACCATTACATGCCATTTGGTTTACAGTGGTATTGTCGCGGTCTAATTCAAAAATGGTCTGAAATGAACGCGTTTTTGCAGTATTAACTCCCATCATTATCGCCGTATAGGAAACCTGGTTTTGTCC